TATATATGTATTATATATATATTATATTATTATGTAATATTATATATACGAGTATAACAGTATGTAATGATTATTGATATATAATTATCCAAGATATCTGCTGAATTCTTGAAAGTGACTTAATAGAGAATGCATTATTTGCTTGCCAATTGTGTAATTACGTAAAAAAATCAATATATATCTTTGTTTTTCTTACATATAATATAATATCTAGTATGTAAATAATTCTCTCCGTTAAGCCTCACCATTAAGAATTTGTTAAAAGTTTAAATTAATTAGCGAGATACTAACTTGTTAACAGATTATACGCGACTCGCATACAGTAACTACGAAATATGAAAATTATAATTAATATATGTAATCAATGAAATAATGATATAGCGCAAGAATCGACCTGTATCTAATCGATATACGTAGGGATGGAGCGAAATCAGTTCAGAATTAGTCAGAGATACGCAGTAAGATTTGTACATCGACTTGGCATTCAGGACAAACTATGTAGATTGATTTCTATCGCGCGTTATGCGAATCTATTCTATTTGAAGATATTGATTTGACGTTGCATAAAGTCCTGTTACGTATCGGATTTTTTCGTCTTACGAAATTATTGAATTTAGATATTTACAATAGTCGGCGAATTGATTTTGCCGTTATGTACAAAACTTAGCAACTGTTTACGCGGAGTGCCGGGAACTCCGTTTTACTGTTTATATTGTAACACTTTAAAGACTCCTGTTGCCTTGCTGCAATATCGTATCAAATTAAATGCAAGAATTATCACATCAAATGCAAGAAATCATATGAATTCTTACATCACCGAAAACTGTTGTCTTAAAAAGACAAAAGACTGTCGTTTTAAAAAGAGATTCATACGATTTTTCATTTTCATAATTTTAAATTGTTATACATATAATGAATAAAAATTGTGTTACAATATCTATGTAATTGATTTTTTAATATAATAGCAGCAGAGGGCGCGCGAGCTTTAATCACACGTATTCTTAATGATATGCAACATTACAACAATAATATTTAAGAGGATTTATCAATTTTTAATTTGTACTTTCGAGCAAAGGATATATTTATCAGCTTCCTGATATTTTTACGATACTGTTGCGAATTCTCCGGTAGAGTAAAGTTAGATCTACACTACTCCCGAAAAGAAACGTACTTCAGTTATAATTTTTAAATAAGAATGCGAATACGAGCGTGAGGATGTGAGAGAACTTTTAATTTAGTCGTTGGCTGTGAAGATTTAATAAAATTGTTCGCGAACGTATAGAGTATAGATATTAGGAGAATAAATTCTTAGGACAATGTTCAAATAGCATTGTATTTATCAAATATGTATCGATTCGCGAATTAATTCTTCGAAATAAGTATGGTGTTTCGCGAAGAGATTGTTCTGAGATAAATTGTAACGATCTGCGCTATGGTGAGCGGAATCGCAAGATGAACCTATTGTGCTCCTCAGTATATTCGTGTTCGTGAATCCGATGTATAATGTGTAATCGTACCGCATACATGCAATGAGTATAACAACGTTGTGATACCATGTACCACACTTTGCAATGTTTAATAAAGTATTTGTAAAAACATATGCAAGGTCTATTCTATTCTTTCACCATTATTTCGGGAAGGCTAAAAACATGTTTAAAAACATATATTTATTTGTTACTCAAGAAAGTTTTCATAATTGTATTTTGTAATCTTGATAAAATTTGTTATATATATGTATATGTTATGCAGTCTTTCCTCACATAACTTGGATTAATATCTTCCTCCATTTGTTGGCTATTAAAAATAATTTCATTTATGAAAAAATATTTTGGAAATAAATAGAGAACGATATCTAATAATCAGTGTCTATCTATAGAATATTTAAAACGTATCTATAAAATCAAGGAGCTTTAATGTGGGGGGGGGAGGGAATAATCATGATATTAAATCTATTCTCTAAATCTTCGTATTACTTGTCCCTCAAATTTATTATCGAGCATGTTAATAAACAAAACAGTTACAGTTTATATGAGCGATAGTGAAGAACTAATCAATTAACTAACCGTTAACATACTTATTTTTTATTTCACAGAATTTATTTATTGCTCTTTATAGTTTTGCTTTTTATAATTATCCACAAGATAATTGAATAAACAGGTAACTGAAACAAAAAATAAGCATGTTGCATTATGGACGCATCCTCGAAAAATGTAAGGGTGCTAAAATGAACAAGGTATCAAACTGTTCATTGATAAACGATTATTTACCGCTAGGCCCGCCCAATCAAGCAATTAACGAAGGCAAGATTATTGCCGCAAATAAAGAGATATCATATAAATGACATGGAAGAGGCATTCCATTGTTATGATATATACTTACGAAAGCGCTCAAGATTAATCTGATCAATTTTTCTAAGACTCTGATCAAAACAAATCCCTCTAAGAGAGTAGAGATACGTGAACAAGTACGCTTCTGATGAGAATTGGGATAGAAAGCAGAAAAAGAAAATCTGGAAATGTTTCAGTCACATGAGTTTTATAAAGATTAGAGAATATGCAAATTATCAAGCCCAAACTATTCTGGATGATCATAAAGAAAATGCGTATGGCAATGTATCCATTTCTGATCAATCTCGGTCAAATATCCAATTGCAAAAGGTGAAATAGAAACAGTGAAATTTGCTACCAATGTGGATCTATCAAACGCGAACAAGTGGAAGCTGCAATTAGATGAATTAACAAAATTTACCATCCTTCCTTAGGTAAATTGAGATAATAATATGTTTATCCATGTCATAATATCTTAGAGATGAACACCATATAGTTATATATAAAGGTATAATTTAAACTAATTTATACAATAATAATAATTCGTTATAATAATAATTCTTATAATTCATCGTAAAATCATATCATTTGATATAACATAATTTTCAGTTGAAAAGAGTGTATTTAGAATTGATTGAGATTCAATTTATATTGTCTTTAGGTACCCGACTACAGAACGCCTGGTCATCAAGAGAATAATAATTTAATTCTGTTCCGTCATTTCAATATCGAACTGGACAGCGAATGATTCGCGATATCATACTAAGATGTGATATATTCGCTTTGTGCGCAAGTCAGTTATTTAAGGGATAATTGATGGCCAGATTTAGATATTCTGCATAAAAATAATGTTCCGATATACAAATCCCATCGGAAACCAAGCGATATCATGAATAAACGTCAGTTGTGTGCATTGGATGCATGCGATCGGTGCAATAATGTTGCGTAGAATGTTGGCCCGTTTACTATCAGACAATATGAGTTGGCGATAGAATGTTATGAATGGAACAATTAGATACAAAAATTCAAATCAATCATATTGACGGTGCAGTTTTCATGGAAGTTGGCATACGAGACTAAAATCTCAAATCCGCAAATGTTCCATCTCATCAAGGACTGCTTGAAGCAAATAATGGTACACAATTACTTGATACTCGAATTTTTTAAAGACAAAGGTATGAAAATACAATCTGATAACCAGTTCAAGAAGGAGAAAACGCATTATTGCAAAGTGTGTTCCTCATTTTTAATATACCATGCAATATATTATATTACATAATATATATTTAAATTATTTAAACTATTTAGGAAACAAATTTTTATTCTTTGCAAACTGAAGTGTTTAATATATTGTTGCAAAGAGGAAGAGAAGGAAGAGAAGAAATTTATGGTGTATTGCATAGATTGCACATTGAAGAAATTTCCTTCGTTGAAAGGATTTGATTGCTGGAAGAAGTATAAAGAAATTAATGAAAATTTAGGATAATTTTACATGCTGTTAATTACTGGTATCACTATATCGTTAGATGTTGAATTATTAAACTTCATAGTCTTTTTAATTCTAAATTTGAAAACTGTTGACATCTGTATTGTGAATTCAACACCAAGTATTATAAAGAGTATAATGCTATACATTTTATTTTATTTTTCATATTTTAACGCTGTCACAAATATGAGTGCCAAAGGAATAGAACAAATATGATCCACTTTGCAAGTATTATTGCACATTTCATAATGAAATGACTGAAGTTGTAATACTATTTGTTGTAATATTTAGCATTAAACTAAGGATGAACTAAGAAAGGACTAAGCTGATACATATCGAACTTTCGATAAAATTCGTTAAACATGTGTAATTTAGTAAGTACAAATTGAAATTGGATTGAAAGTCTATCAGTAAAATTTACTAAACTTTAGATTAACATGGAAACACTTGGATATTTACTACACAACTTTTTCGATATGATTACTAATTACAAAGATTAAGATAAAAAGGAAGAAATTTTTATTAAAGATATCTTTATTAAAGAAATTATATAAGCATGAAGAATCGCTTGTCCTCAATTAATTCTTGTTAGAAAAATAAGACGAACTGTCGTGTGCAAAATTATTCAAATGATATATATTTTATTTTAGTTTGCAAAGATTGCAATTGATAGCAAGATTGAAGAAACGATTTTAATTAGTAAGGATATTCTTAGAATAATCTCTTTTCATATAATGTGTTGCACGTTATACTAATAAA